CGTGCATATCAGAAATAGAAATTCAAGGTATTTATGAGAATACAAAACCGTGTTTCAAAAATCATAATGAAATCAACGGTAGGTGTATAGCTTTCAACATGTTGAAATAAGTAATCTGCCAAAGAATCCTGTGATGATCTTTCGAGGAGGATGGATTGATATGTGACGTTATATAACTGTCACGTCAAAGCTAACAACAATGCCGTTGAACTTAAAAGTTGAAACGTTTATAGTACTTATGTTATATCTTAGCTTTATATCTTTTCAAAGAAAAATGAATGGTAAATGAAGATAAGATTTGTTGGTTGATAATTCCTGTCAAGAAATAATTTCCTTTCTAATTCGTATTACCAGCTACTACGTGCTGGTATTTCCTTGGAAAGGGAAAACATGAGGAAGGTCCATTCATATGTAGTATTAGTTACTTAATATAAAGAACTAAGATGTGTCATGCTCTTGTGACACAATAACCTCTATATTCTGCAAGATATAATTTGGAACATAGGACAAAAACAATAAAAATCATTAAAAGTGACTCGCAAGTTATGGTTCAGTTAAAACACAAGTAAGGTACAGATCCTTGAAATTGTTTTAGCAAGACGGGTACAGTTATCAGAATGTTCGCCTCTATTATTTACTACGTTTTTATCAATATTCAAAGATATCAACACAAGTGTCTGTGCGGTAAGACGAGTTAGGACAATAAAGTTAAGATTCAGATATGAGTTACAGTGAAATAAAGCAATTTAAGGCATAAATTTGCTTGTGAAATAGGCGTGTGTTGACATAAAAAAAACACGGAGTGAAGAGCAAAGCGTTTTATGCGCATAAATTTAAAGATGCTGGTTATTGATGTATCTATAAGCAAATAAAAAAATGTTTCTTAATATGATTCAAATGTTTACATACCGTCACATATAAAATGCAAGCCGTCTTAAAAAGTTTTTTGGTCACCCGCCTGTTTGTACCGAACTAATGTTGAGATCTTCTCACAAGATCCGGTTGGGGTACAAATCGTTTATATACTGTGATAGTGTCATTTACCGGATTAATGCGTTTATTTCTTTTGATTACATAATACTTAAGAGTCTGTTCTTGTCGTTTAATATTGCCTCGAGCTCCACGTCTGTGCCTGGTTTGGACCAAGGGCACCCAGGGCCGATCTAAGGACAGTAATTTGTAAAGCATCTAATCATTTTAATTGAGCTTTGCTAGCACCAGAATAAATTTGTGTACCGTAATCTATTTTTGAACGTAAAAACGACTTATATACATGTAGTAGACGTATATAGTAGCAAAAGGATGTTTTTATCAGTTCCAAAATCAGTGCATAACATTTAAGTCTTTTACGGCATCTGATTACCAGGGTCCAAGGTTATAAAAAAATTCTCTAAGCTCAAACTCAGATCTCAGGTATCTGATTGGTCGAAAAACGCCACATAATGTACACTGACCAATGAAAATCATGATATTTGAGACAGAACTCAGAAAAAAGTTATATAACCTTGAGGCCAGATCTGAAACATGTTGCTCAAATAATAATTTCAGTCCAAATGTATGCCTGAAAATCAAGTAACTTTAGCACATTAAATTGCCCCGTATCATCAATCATAAACGATAGTCTCCTACCTAGAAGTTGTAATCTATTTTGACAGCAGTATTTGGCAATATAACAGCTCGACATCAAGATTATTAGGTGTGTGAAATCCTTTAATTTAGTTATAAATTCTATAAACTTTTAATGCGTCGTTGCAAATCAGTCAATCATCTGACAGTGCTTTCAGCGCTTTGATTGTCCTCTAGCTATAACAAAACACAAATAACAAGCATTTTAGTTGGCTAAAATATGTATTATAATTTTTTTATTATTATTTATCGACATTATTTCAGATATGTAGATCAGGTCATTTGACATATAGAGATGGGCCGTGTGATATAGATACAAATATAAAAGTGTCTATAGTGACACTTATTTTTCAAACAAACAACCTTCTGATGGTGACAGGTGTAAACTCGGGTTATAGTATGGTGAATGTTTGGTGGTGTGTGCGCTGGGAAAGATGTTTCGTAAAAGTTTTCTCAGCAACTATTTATATAAACATATATGGTCCCGTACTGTGGGATTCGATTTCAGGTCTGTCGCTTACCCACTTCCTGTTTACTGACTAAATTTATTGTCAACATTAATGGTTATTGGTAGGAAATGTTTGTTACATTTATTTCAGAAACTACTTTTCACAGCCCTTGATAATTGGTATATATCATTAACATATAGTCCCATACTGTGGGACTGTCCCTCTTCCACTTCCTGTTTACCAACTTATTCAAATTTACAACATTAATGGTCTACTTATCACAGCCTCTTGATATTTGTTATACAGCGTTAACATGTAGTCCCAGTAGAAAAACATGGTTCATCTATAGGGATGTTTAATTCTGCCATAGACTATTTTGATACTTATCGGCCCTTTGTTTTTTCGTATTTTGTAGTTGTCGTCGTTTTTTTTTTTTTTTTTTTTTTTTTTTTGATTCCTTTTTTTATATATTTACCTTGCACATGACATAGATAAAATTTATTAATACAATGTTTGGATATCAATGTGTGACTTTGTTATCAATACATTTTGGTAATATTAAGCTTATCGATCAAAACTATAGAAACATATACATGGAAATCACCAATATCTATGAAAACAAAAACACGCGTCTCCTTGTTATATTGCCAATTGCCCATTTTGTAAAATATTGTATTTAAATCCAATCTTTTTTCATGTGTTTTCTTATTGGTTAAGCAATTCAGCCCTAGAAGCTTGAATGTGCCAACCTACTTTACATATGTCGCAAAAATCTGACCAGATAAGCTCTCAGTCGGTTGTTTATTTTCAGAACACATTTCAAAAAAATCAGCAAAATCATATATCTCATTTCCTATGAAACATTTTGTTTCCGTTGTCTGTGTCTATGTTATAGGTGTAAAATATTTAAATATTTTTTGAGCTTGGATTAATTAATCACCCTTTAAAAATTGCTTGATAAGTTCTGTCTCCTTAGCTTGTTCTTAATGCTCTTCCTTTAATTAGCTATTTAATCTTTTAGACATTCCTTTTTTTTAAATCTCTTGTTAGTGTCCCTTTATCTTTCATGTTTTTCATCTGCTTCAATGTAAATTGCGTAATACTGTGCTCACTTTACGTAAACCGTAAGTGGTTACAAGTCATGTGAAACATTGATTGTGTAATTTATAAACATGGTTGCAACAATAAAAATTGTCTTACAATTTGAGAGACATGGAAATTTGGAAAGAAATGTTTGTAGTGTCTGTGTGTGTCCAAGCTTACTGCTCTATCGCCCGTTTTATTTCCGCTACAAACTTCTCACATATTAACAACATCTCATATTAACTACGTTTAAACTTTAATTGCTTGTATTTTCGGTTCAATCTATTTGCAAAAAAAAAATTGGTATAGGACTTTTTGAAAAAAAGAAAGAGTGGATAACAGAAACGTATCCAGTGAATTTTTATTTCTCCTGTAGGTGCACGGGGAAATTGAATATTAATGTCATTACTGACAACTTTCGCCAAGTGCTGATAAATAAAAAAGGGGAAATTTGTGTGTAATACATTTGTCTTTCTATCTAAAGGCAACGAGTATGAACTTTTGGTAAAGCGCATACTTTGTGGTGTACATGTTGATAATATCTTTATATTCAGGTCAAAAAAAGAGATCTCGTGACTATTAAGCTTGTGGTGTGCCGTACGATCAGTAAAGATGAATGCTGCAAGGTTTTGCCACTTTATAATCATAGCTTCTGAATGTTATAACATACACACTTCAAGAGCAAATATTTCACAATTAATTAAGGTTAGCAATACTCGCTGTTTTGTTCTTTTTTCATGAAGCTGTCTTTCTTTAGTGAATGCTTCAAGAATTACTTTATTGTTGTTTTTTCTTTAGATCTATTCTTAAATTCTTCTGTAAAAAAATGCCCAATTCTGATACTTTGAGTAAATTAAATAGAGTAATAGATTTATTCTTCAAAACTCTATTTTCCAAACACGATCACTATTCGAGGTGCAAGGGGTGTCCTAGACCGAGTGGCTTAGGTCGTTGACTTCAAACCAATAGCCCCTCACCACTGTGAGTTCGAATCCGACAGGAACTTTGGATTCTTTCATGTGAGGAAGCTATCTAGATAGAACGTTGGTGGTTCTACTCAGTATCCCGTTCGTCCCTGATATAATGCACGGAAAGGCACCGCCATCTTCCTCCGCCATTAAAACTGGAACGTCACCATATACCCTATACTGTGTCGATGTGACGTAAAATCCAATCAAACAAACAATCCAAATTCGACCTGCAGTGTTCATGGACATTATCTATAATCTTGTAGGGATAAAGAAAAACAATTTGTGAAGTTAATATATTGTTTATTTATTGTAAGACTACTAACGGTATTTCATTCATTTACTGTAAAAATAAGTGGAATAATATAAATAGCAATATACAATTTGATGTTTATCAAATAATTCCAACAAATAATTCCTGATTTTACAGCTTACTTCTGAGCATCTTATTATATATATCAAGAAGAAAAGACAAACAAAATGCCACAGAATGAAAGAAAAAATTGTCTGGCTAGAAGAGTTTATCTCTGAAAGAAATTTGATTTTTTTTTTAATTTATTTTAATTAAAAGAAACTGGTCTATGTAAGATATCCATTTATTTTATTGTTAATAATGATAAAACTGCAACAATTTGATCAAAATTTTGGCTATCTTTGTAGTAAAATGATAACTATGATATTCATCTGCTGTAAAAATTAATGGAGTTAAATGAATCTGTCTTCGCCATTTTTGACAAAATAGGAATAATTCTTACAATTTTATAAGATATACAGTCACATGTTGATATTAATCAATTACTTCTAGAAATACAAATATACATAATAATAAAGTAATACACAGCTTCTTTCTAGATATATACAATTATACATAGCAATGCAGTCAGCTACTTGTAGAGATATACAATTATACATAGCAATGCAGTCAGCTACTTGCAGAGATATACAAAAATTCGTAGTAATACAGTCAGCTACTTGCAGAGATATACAAAGATTCGTAGTAATACAGTCAGCTACTTGTAGAGATATACAAAGATTCGTAGTAATACAGTCAGCTACTTGTAGAGATATACAACGATTCGTAGTAATACAGACAGCTACTTGTAGAGATATACAAAGATTCGTAGTAATACAGTCAGCTACTTGTAGAGATATACAACGATTCGTAGTAATACAGTCAGCTTCTTGCAGAGATATACAAAGATTCGTAGTAATACAGTCAGCTACTTGTAGAGATGTACAAAAATTCGTAGTAATGCCGTCAGCTACTTGTAGAGATATACAAAGATTCGTAGTAATACAGTCAGCTACTTGTAGAGATATACAAAAATTCGTAGTAATGCAGTCAGCTACTTGTAGAGATATACAAAGATTCGTAGTAATGCAGTCAGCTACTTGTAGAGATATACAAAGATTCGTAGTAATACAGTCAGCTACTTGTAGAGATGTACAAAAATTCGTAGTAATGCAGTCAGCTACTTGTAGAGATATACAAAAATTCGTAGTAATGCAGTCAGCTACTTGTAGAGATATACAAAGATTCGTAGTAATACAGTCAGCTACTTGCAGAGATATACAAAGATTCGTAGTAATACAGTCAGCTACTTGTAGAGATATACAAAGATTCGTAGTAATGCAGTCAGCTTTTTGTAGAGATACTAAGTATACAAAGATTCGTAGTAATACAGTCAGCTACTTGTAGAGATATACAAAGATTCGTAGTAATGCAGTCAGCTTTTTGTAGAGATACTAAGTAAACAAAGATTCGTAGTAATACAGTCAGCTACTTGTAGAGATACTAAGTATACAAAGATTCGTAGTAATACAGTCAGCTACTTGCAGAGATATACAAAGATTCGTAGTAATACAGTCAGCTACTTGTAGAGATATACAAAGATTCGTAGTAATGCAGTCAGCTTTTTGTAGAGATACTAAGTATACAAAGATTCGTAGTAATACAGTCAGCTACTTGTAGAGATATACAAAGATTCGTAGTAATGCAGTCAGCTTTTTGTAGAGATACTAAGTAAACAAAGATTCGTAGTAATACAGTCAGCTACTTGTAGAGATACTAAGTATACAAAGATTCGTAGTAATACAGTCAGCTACTTGTAGAGATATACAAAGATTCGTAGTAATACAGTCAGCTACTTGTAGAGATATACAAAGATTCGTAGTAATGCAGTCAGCTTTTTGTAGAGATACTAAGTAAACAAAGATTCGTAGTAATACAGTCAGCTTTTTGTAGAGATACTAAGTAAACAAAGATTCGTAGTAATACAGTCAGCTACTTGTAGAGATATACAAAGATTCGTAGTAATACAGTCAGCTACTTGTAGAGATATACAAAGATTCGTAGTAATGCAGTCAGCTTTTTGTAGAGATACTAAGTAAACAAAGATTCGTAGTAATACAGTCAGCTTTTTGTAGAGATACTAAGTAAACAAAGATTCGTAGTAATACAGTCAGCTACTTGTAGAGATATACAAAGATTCGTAGTAATGCAGTCAGCTTTTTGTAGAGATACTAAGTAAACAAAGATTCGTAGTAATACAGTCAGCTACTTGTAGAGATACTAAGTATACAAAGATTCGTAGTAATACAGTCAGCTACTTGCAGAGATATACAAAGATTCGTAGTAATACAGTCAGCTACTTGTAGAGATATACAAAGATTCGTAGTAATGCAGTCAGCTTTTTGTAGAGATACTAAGTATACAAAGATTCGTAGTAATACAGTCAGCTACTTGTAGAGATATACAAAGATTCGTAGTAATGCAGTCAGCTTTTTGTAGAGATACTTAGTAAACAAAGATTCGTAGTAATACAGTCAGCTACTTGTAGAGATATACAAAGATTCGTAGTAATGCAGTCAGCTTTTTATAGAGATACTAAGTAAACAAAGATTCGTAGTAATACAGTCAGCTACTTGTAGAGATATACAAAGATTCGTAGTAATACAGTCAGCTACTTGTAGAGATACTAAGTGTACAAAGATTCGTAGTAATACAGTTAGCTACTTGCAGAGATATACAAAGATTCGTAGTAATACAGTCATCTACTTGTAGAGATATACAAAGATTCGTAGTAATGCAGTCAGCTTTTTGTAGAGATACTAAGTATACAAAGATTCGTAGTAATACAGTCAGCTACTTGTAGAGATATACAAAGATTCGTAGTAATGCAGTCAGCTTTTTGTAGAGATACTAAGTAAACAAAGATTCGTAGTAATACAGTCAGCTACTTGTAGAGATACTAAGTATACAAAGATTCGTAGTAATACAGTCAGCTTTTTGTAGAGATACTAAGTAAACAAAGATTCGTAGTAATACAGTCAGCTACTTGTAGAGATATACAAAGATTCGTAGTAATGCAGTCAGCTTTTTGTAGAGATACTAAGTAAACAAAGATTCGTAGTAATACGGTCAGCTATTTGTAGAGATATACAAAGATTCGTAGTAATGCAGTCAGCTTTTTGTATAGATACTAAGTATACAAAGATTCGTAGTAATACCGTTAGCGACTTGAAGAGATATACAAAGATTCGTACTAATACAGTCAGCTATTTGTAGAGATATACAAAATTCGTAGCAATACACTCAGCTACTTGTAGAGATATACAAAGATTCGTAGTAATACACTCAGCTACTTGTATAGATATACAAACATACGAAGATATAAAATCAACTGTTTCACAGATATATTATACTAAGAGTAGGAATTAACATGAAATAATGTCCATTTCATATAGCAAGGTAATGGAACGCTTGGCATATTGTTAACCTATGTTTGTATAAGGAAATAAGGGTTTATATTTAAATAAACTGTGGATTGGAATTGTTCAAGTTTTGTGCCGATTGAAGTTTTAATATATTTTTGTGGAATTTTCTTAATTCACAGGTTCCTAAGTTGCATATTAAGATACCTCACACCTACGTGGATTTTTGAAAGGAGTGTTCCAAGTTAAATGCATCTAAGATTCATTATAGTTTTCACTTATTTGTCCTTCTTGTTCTCTTAAAATATTCACCTTCAACATATATAAAAAGTCTTCGGACCCAGTGTTTGATTGCATTCTTATAGTCTATTCATTATAACAAATTTTGACCAACAAGTATTGCACTGTAGACATTTTGTGCGATGACGCTTTTGTCATGCAGTAATCTGATATTGGCAAAACATGTTGCAGGTCTTTGCTTTCGAAAATATGTATTTAGTTTTCGAGGCAATAATGTTATTTAAAATTTACAAATTTGCCTTAAGGAACAGCATCTTGAAAGGCGGGACAAAATGTTTCGTCAAAATCCTTTTGCAGTAAACTGCAAAGTTGCATTTCTAAAGCATCCACAGGTAAACGCATATTAACACATTTGCATATTTTAAATTTTTCTTAAAGTTATATCTATTTGCTAGTATACAAATTATTCCTGAAATTTGAACCTTTTTACTTTAAACCGTTCCCTATCTGTCAAAACAGCTTGAAGAAGTAAGTATATTTTAACTCTAGGACAAAATATATCAGACATTTTCACAGGGGTTTATATAATCGGTCACTTATTTTTTGTCACCTGCATCTGAAACAACCTTTCCTAACTTCGAAAGCACTCTTTTTTTACGGTTTTCTACACATTTTTTATGTTGTTGAAAATCATATCCTTATAGAGTAGTGTGTTGAATTCCATAAGGCTGGCAAGTCGGTCGAAAGCTCGTTCTGAGTATTGGAATTTAAAGGTTGAATAAGGTGTATCTTTATCTTCAAATACGTCAAACTCACCGAACACTTCCTCTTCCTCCGTTTCCCTGGAAACGCCTAGAAATCGGATTAAAATCAAGTCATTATTTTTCAATGCATGTGTATTTGATATTTTATGGACAATAGATTGTATCTTTTAGGCTCTGAGTATGAAAACCAATGCAAAAGTAAAACAATTAAAACTCACGAACTAAATTCATTGGGTCTGTTAATGACAAACTGTGAATAGGGAAGTGTGTCCAAAAACCTTTGCAGTAGACAACTAAATTTACAAAGTAATTTTAATCGATAATACCCGATGACATATCCTGTTTACAGGCACCATGCAACGCGTGTATGTTTAGTATTTATTTTTTCTGTTAAAATCATCGCAACTTTTTATGTCAAGTGTTTATTTTCTGATGAAAACACTCTAAAACTTTCATTTTTTATCATTTCAGGCACAAACATGTTCTAATTCAATAAGCACCATAATGCATTATATTTTTTTTTGTTCCGACATACATTTCCAAAGAACTGTAGAACTGTCTATTTATCAATATGTATCTAGGCCTTGCATGACTTTGTACAACATATATAAGTTTTCAGATCATGTTTATGTTAATAATAAATAGGCAACACTAATCATTTGTTTGAAAAAAACAGTTTTCTTTCATCATTCTGTGAAATAGCAACAGTCATATTATCATTATCTAGAATGCCATAAGTTCAGATAATAATGATTAATAAACCCATTTCACCTGGTGATTTAAACTTCCTGAATTCATTGTTGATGAGAATGAAATGCATGACAATCGGACAAGTATGATCATCAGGGTTTTCAAAGACATACATTCCTTTAAGTCTTCACTACCAATTTCAGTTGTGTTGATGTCAGGAAAGGGTATCTCATGAAGTTTTGCCCAATCAGCGGCTAGTCGTAGTTCCTAAATGATACAATGAAGCATATAAATAAAAAGGAACTGTTTTTTTTAAATGGCCAAATGCTCATACACAATTTATAAGACATACTGTTGATAATATATTTTCCAATTATTTACAAAGTCGTATGAGAAATTTATTTCCAACGTGTTTATAGATAAGGTCAAGGGTTATTTTTTCTGGATTCATTGTTAAGTGCCTTTCATTTTCTTTGACTTAAGGCAGTTATCACGGGTATGTGTCTTATCATACTTATATAGAAAACGAGCATACAATACAATGTCTTTAATATAAAATAATGAAATTAAGGACGATTCACAAAGTTAAATTTCATACTAACTAGTTGTAGAATATTATTTCTTTGCTTTGTTTTGTTTCACGAAGCACAACCACAATTTAGGTCATATGGTACCGACATATGACAGGTAATTTTGGCTATCGTTGGGTGGCGGGTGTAAAAACTTTAAAGCATCACCAAGGATCAAATCCACCTCACCTGCTAGAGCTAAGAGAAGCATACACACCAGTTATTTTAACCAATTTAGTCGCGTCTTATAATTACGCAGAGCAATCATAATGTGTCAATCCTAAAAGGAAACCCAACAGTCATATGTACAACATTGAATCCTAGCATTGGTAAATATCAATACATGTAATTTATAAAACCAATAGCACAATGACTAGACACGTTATATGCTTTAAAGTGTATGAAGTTATGTATTTGCTGTTTGTTGATTATAAAATTGTAAAAGTATTGTTTGTTAATTTTGTGACTAAAAATATTACAGAATACATAATATAAAAGAAATTTTTCAGTTTATTTATTTAAGAGCTTGACAAATCAACATTCAATGTACAATTAAATTCCGTTCAAGAAACTGCGATTAGGTTATGAAAACATTATATTATGATAAGGTTATGAAAACATTATATTATTACATAAATATTTTATCAGATATAGCTTAGTAAACTTTGAATATCGCTGAAAAGACTTAAATTGAATTTAAATTGTTGTTTTAACCATCAAAGAAAATTTCTTGTGATCAAAAATACTGAACTGTAAATGGGTCGGCTTTGTCACTTTCTCTTGCACTGAAATCAAATGACAGGATGAGATCAACTTCACGTTCTGGTCGTAGTATAAGAGGGAACGGAGAGTTGAATGCCAGGCCAGCGTCCACTAGATACATCTTCTCTGTATCTGTCGGGTTCATTTCATGCAACTCCTTATATAGTCCATCAGCTTGGAATGATAAGAAAAGGTGCTGAATCACGCCATCTAAAAGTGGGTTGTTCTAAACCGGTCTTTGTGTATATAAGATATTGATAGAAGCAATATAACTGTAATATTTGTATATTTCTTATAAAATATTTTGAAAAAAGAACTCTGAAAAAGTTGTGATTTTGTTATAAACATTTATGTGATTAATCATAATATTTTGTTTTGGAACACTTTATTATCAGGCATATAAATGTATGTTATATTGGATCAGGTATTTCACGCATGCCAACAACATACATATAATTTGTCCGTAGTTTGTTGTTACGTCTGATACAAAATACTATCAGCGTATTTATTAATGGTATGAAAGACCTTCAAGACTAATTCTCTTTACAATTCAGTCATTACGTTTTTTAACAAAATGGTCTTTAACGCTTAATTTTACATTATCATAACACAATATTATGACATATTGACAAAACATAAAAGGTGTAAAAATAAAACTCTTTCTTAAAAAGTATAAAGGTCTATAGAGAAGTGTGTATCAAGAATAGTATTTGTTTGAATCTCATAGCAAAGTATATTCCGTAAGTTCCTGAAATGACCAAAATTTGTCTTATAGGAGTCGTACGTGATAAATGTATTTGTTTAAATTATCGGTAACAGAAAATAGCAGTTTTTCTAAGTTTTCATATTCGCGTATAACTCTTGCCCAGACACTGACAGGGACACATTTTGTGAAAGCTTATCATCGCTTTGTTCATTTGAATATATAAAAAAACTATGATGGGGGTACAATTATTGAAATTTAGATCATAAATTCACAGCTACAGCTTTACACTCTGAAAATATAAATCATTTCAATACAGCTTTAAAGATGGTTTTCACAAATCTAGATCTTTTCACATACTTCGTATGTTTTTGCAGCAAATTCATTTAAAATTTCTCGGAAAAGAAAGAAAATGCCTTTGATAATCAAATCTAATGTGCATTGTATAAAAACATTTATAAATAAAGAAATGCGGTTATCTTTCATAACATTTATTATGCCCCCACAATGTGGGAGCATATAGCGTTGCACTTGTCCGTCCGTCCGTCAGTCCGTCCGTCAGTCCGTCCGTACGTCCCGAAATCCTGTGAACGCATCTCCTCTTAAACCGGATGGCAGATTTTGCTTAAACTTACAGGCATGAACAACCTTAATGTGTAGATGGTAGTAAAGGAAGGATTTTTCGCTGCGACCAAATTTAAGAGAATTATGGCCCTCTGTTGATTTTTTCACTAGATACTATGTAGACATTTTGTGAACGCAACTCCTCTTAAACCGCATGGCAGATTTTGCTTAAACTTACAGGGATGAACAATTAACCTTAATGTGTAGATGGTAGTAAAGGAAGGAATTTTTGCTGTGACCAAATTTAACAGAATTATGGCCCTCTGTTGATTTTTTCACTATATACTATGTAGAAATTTTGTGAACACAACTCCTCTTAAACCGGATGGCAGATTTTGCTTAAACTTGCAGGAATGAACAACCTTAAGGTGAAGATGGTAGTCAAGGAAGGAATTTTCGCTGCAACCAAATTTTACAGAATTATGGCCCTTTGTTGATTTTTTCACTATATACTATGTAGACATTTTGTGAAAGCAACTCCTCTTAAACCGGATGGCAGATTTTGCTTAAACTTCCAGGGATTAACAACATTAATGTGTAGATGGCAGTAAAGGAAGGAATTTTTGCTGCGACCAAATTTAACAGAATTATGGCCCTTTGTTGATTTTTTCACTAGATACTATGTAGACATTTTGTGAACGCAACTCCTCTTAAACCGCATGGCAGATTTTGCTTAAACTTACAGGGATGAACAATTAACCTTAATGTGTAGATGGTAGTAAAGGAAGGAATTTTTGCTGTGACCAAATTTAACAGAATTATGGCCCTCTGTTGATTTTTTCACTATATACTATGTAGAAATTTTGTGAACACAACTCCTCTTAAACCGGATGGCAGATTTTGCTTAAACTTGCAGGAATGAACAACCTTAAGGTGAAGATGGTAGTCAAGGAAGGAATTTTCGCTGCAACCAAATTTTACAGAATTATGGCCCTTTGTTGATTTTTTCACTATATACTAAGTAGACATTTTGTGAAAGCAACTCCTCTTAAACCGGATGGCAGATTTTGCTTAAACTTCCAGGGATTAACAACATTAATGTGTAGATGGCAGTAAAGGAAGGAATTTTTGCTGCGACCAAATTTAACAGAATTATGGCCCTTTGTTGATTTTTAGTTTTCAACTTGTGGCACATGTAGTCCAAAAAATATTTGACCTAGAGTCATAAGATTGACAGAACAGTGGCGTGTGGGGGCATCCGTGTCCTATGGACACATTTCTAGTTACTAGTTATTTTATATTATAACAATTTCTAAGGCAAAATCACGCACACGCATACAATTATATTTATGTCATATATTTGTCAATACAAAAGCTTTGTGTATTTCAATTACTTACTTGATTCCTTGCCTAAAAAAACAGAAGAAAGGTTCCATCCGTTCCTATTAAACAAAAATACAAAGAAAATTATATATAATGCATTAATTCATTATGATCCATCTAGTCAAACATTATTCTAGCCATACTAAATTGCAATATTTTATCCCAGTCATACTTAATCGCAGAATATTATTTCAGTTACACTAAATTACAATATATTAGTCATTCCAGTCATACTTAATGAAAATGTATAATTAATCAGTCTTACCAAATTGCAATGCATGAATATTATTCCAGTTAAACTTAATCGTTACACATATATGTTATTCAAGTCAGTATATTAATCAAGTCTTATCAAATTGCAATACTCTTTTCTAGTCATAACAAATCTTGAATCTTGAAACAGAAAAAAAAATAATTGGTAGCTAAAAAGGTGCATTGTATATACATTTGATTGTGTTATATATTAGAAATGCGCTAGGAATTATATATTCTTAATAACTGATTTGCATTATACAGACAGACGTCCCTTTGTTAATAAGCAAAGACTATTTATTTAATTAACGGCACATATATAGTGATCATCATTTGTAATATGTTCAAGCACAGCACATTAAATAATATTTATGTATGGTCAATACGAAAAAGAAAGTCAACTTGTAAATTCTTCAACTTTTATTTTGAACGTAAAATTGAACTGTCAACTTAGACAGACATGATTTGATCATTTCTTGGTTAACAGTCGTAATCGGACTTAGGTTAGTAATGCCCAAACTTAAGCAGCCATACAATATTCAAAATTAGCAATTTGATGTTATGTGATAAACTTTATTGACCCAGTTTTGCTTGCTATTTGATTACTGATTGATTCAAATACCTTTCAGATTTAAAGCAACAGTCAGTTGAATTCGTGGAAGCTTGTAGTTTAAGTTTACATTGAAAACTATACAAACTGATTAAAGGTGAATGGGTGTGAGATATACCACACTATTATTCCTTGTCATCTGTTTGGAAACTATATATTTTTTGTGTTGAATGAACATTCTATAATAAATTATTGATTTGTGACTATTTAATCTTTTAAAAAGGTCATTGTTTTCTTCTCTCTCTTTTCCAAGCTGCCTGGTTATTTAATATTGTTTGCTAAAAACACAAAAAGCCATAAGAATTGGCAATATATAAAAGCGTATGTACAGAACATTTTATCATGTGACTTTCTATCTAGAAAAGGATAAACAAAGGACAAGAGACAATGGATAGAGATAGTAATTGTTAGGATGTGAGCCGAATATATCGCTTATCTGAAACCATTTTAATTGCCTACCAATTATAGGTTCTCAAGTCAACTCAATGTCCAAAAAGTCAACTGATCATATGCATGCATACCTAGGTGTTTTTCTTGAATTTTAACTGATAAAGATGAACTGTGGGCATAAATGCCTCACATTAAGTCTTTAACGATTTCTAATGCTCAAATAATGCGAAATCTAAATGTCGTTTTCTTCCTTAAAACTTTAGATGAAAACATATTGCAAACTTAAGACTATAGTTTTATGATAATGGTGCATATAACTCCTCAAAACTGTAGGTCTAAGGTATACCCTATAATATTACCTTACCGGAGAAATGATAGATGCCGATAATTTCATGTGATGAATCCAATCGTCGTTTGCAAGGTCTTAGGACACCGCTAAATTACATAAATACTTAGACTGCATTCCAAGTAAATTAAGCTACAAGCTTTTTTCTGTTATACAAAACATACCAACCATCCCTTAAGTCCATATAAGAATAGTTTCGACATTAAAATAGGAAACAAAAACTTTATCTATTAATTCTAGATACATGTAGTTGTTGAAATGTTATATACAAATCGCGTGAATAAAATAAAATCATATGAAGGAAAAGTACCATAGATGTCTTACTAATTTTTGTAGATGGTCGGTATTTCTGCAGTTGAAGACCACGCATGAAGTTATTTACAGCAGCTGCCCTTCCTTGAATATCATTAGTGATCCTGTCTACAGAAGGGTGTTCCATTATTCTCTCAATTCTTGTTTTTCTCTTATCACCTCTCGAAGTTGTCTCCGCTTCTGGCTCGAGGTATTTTTCTACTTCTGATTCTGTTGAGATTGGAAAGAAACTGATCTACTTTTTTCTCCTCATAAAGGATACAACCAAAATACGATTTCAATTAAAAATATGGATATAAATCTTTGTAAAAAGGAATAAATTCAACTGAAAAAACTTTTAAAATACCAATAAAATGTCTTTCTTCCAGTACGTTTGTAGTTTGGATGAACCGATATAACAAAATGCAGAACGCGCTTCCCCAGATACCTGAAATCGATTTAACGTAAACGTACAATGCATCAAGGTTCGCTTGACACGAGGAAAACAGTAATTGACGCATACAGATTCAAACTCATAAGATGGATCACTAACTTGAACACATGAGTTGAAGAATGAAAAGACTTTTGCCAAAACTGACTGATATTCTTATACAAATTATACTTGATTTTGTATCTTGCCAACAATAGATTGCGTAATGCCATTCAAACTATTATCCAAAATAATATCACGCATGCGCAGTAAGTGACATTAAACCGACCCTAATGCTGATTGCATCAAAATAAATATTCATGTATGGTTGCAAAACATTGACGCAGGTTTGAAAATACTATTTTTGTTCATTTTTTTTACTTTATTAACCATGATTGCGGGGAGTTTGTGAAGTATGTGTTAAAAGGTGCTAAAATAGTTTTAAATTCTTACATAGATCTAGTGAAATAGTCTAAATGAAAAAAATTGTAAAGGCTGATAAAGAAATGTAACCGGAGTAAGATTGAAAATCGGTTGTTATTTTCTTTTTTGGGGGGGGGTGTCTTTTTGTAATTTACAGCCCAACTGACCCATGTTTTGGGATAATGTTGTACAATTAAAATTGATCAATCGGATAAAAAAGGTTGTGGGAATAATCTGAAAATGTGCACACTAGTTATTGATCTAGACCCTCATCAAATTGTACTTAATCTTTGTCAAATATTTCCAATTCAGTCAATCAGCCTTTCAAATGACAGTCTTGATTATTGTATCTTAAAACTGCATAAAGAATCAATATTAAAAATGAGTAACAATAAAAACATTTCAATGATTTTACCTAGGAGAAAATGCAATGGAAAATCGTCAAATTTTTTAAGGACGCGGCCTGAAAAGAATTCACTTCCGAGCATCTTTGGTTCCAAGAAGGTCCCATACTTTGGCATGCCTATCGCAAAGGGGCTAAACTCAATCCACTCTGCAAATTTACATTGATAAATAAATTAACATATCACCTGAACATATATGAGAAAATTTGTGATTTCTTTGCCTTTATGATCAAAAGTACATGTAAATATTTTTATAATTTAAATTTACCTCATATGAACGATGAAGAATTCACACCACCTAAGGAAATTTCTGTAGATTTCCATTCGAATTTCAAAATTTACCTGTAGCATTAAATTTATATATAAAGAAATGCGACTTTTATATTTCAAGCAGATTACTTCTTTATCTTGTCATGAATATTTATCCAATATTAATTTTTGGACAATCACCATTAAAATAGCCATAAATATTTAGTAATACAGCACAACTAATCATTGACAGGTGAAACATTTGAAGCAAGCTTTTTATTGCGCACCATTTTTAAAAAAATCGGAGAAATCTTCAAGTGCCTTTTGTTTCACTTTATTTACTGAATCTTGCTTTAACTTAAGTTGATTAATAACTATTTACCATGAAACACCTTTGCTGAAGTCTTCTTTTTCACATTAACAGCTGCATATAATGGCAAAGGAGCTAATCCTTCTTTCACTTTAACTTGTTGATTTGTCAATGTTGAATTCATTCCCTAGTTTGTGTGTTCAAAGAATAAGATAACAAGAATAATAAATCTATAAAAAAATTGCTGGAAATATACAATTAATTATAGACATTATTATATCTAACAATTTTATTGCGGAGAGGGAGATTAGAATGTGAGTATTTAGCTATTGATAGATCTCCTATCTGACCTTTTATTTGAATAACAGTAGATTCAACCACTAAAGCTTACACAACAAACGTGTTGTTTCGGACTTCTTATTGTATCCACACATCTGATAATTAGAATCAGGAATCAATGCATTAAAATCATTTCACTGATGTGCTTCGTAAACGTTGTAAAATAAAATAAACTAAAAAACGTATGTGTCATAGAAACTTGAATAAAATACACAAAGTTTTGATCAATATTTAGCAAAGGTGATGTCATATATGACATGAAATATGTATCAGCTTGGTGGAATGTAAAAAATAAGCATCGAAGATAGAACATTCGAATGCATAAGCCGCTTGTCTCTGTACAGTAAATTATATGCTTTAAAATCTATGTACCAAATTAAGACTATAACAACCATTGTTACGACATTTGAAATCACTTCATCTGTCTCATTAATCATATTATATCTATTCTAGTAGTTTACTTTTACGAATGAGTGTTTACGATACGCATTTTGAATGTAAAAGTTGCGTGTGCATAAATAATGTAACAATAAATAACGTGCATTATATTTAAGTACCAAAATCTTTGCAGCAGGGGCATTGTCTTTTAGTACTTCCTCCATCACGCGCTTACAAATTGTTTGCCTTTTGTCAATATAATCCTTTTCTTCATCACAAAGACTATGTCCGAGCAACAATTGTGTTCCTAAATGGCTTTATAAAGCAACAAAACAAAATTGTAAATTAATTATTGAAGGTCTGACAAGTACAAACTAGAATAAAGCGAACTTATCGGGGCATTTGACATTCAGCATGATATTTACTAGTGTAAGGGCTTATACATTTGAATTATAAACAAAATCGATTTCATTCGAAAATCCTACCAATTAAAGACGTCCAATATTACTTTCTAAGGATTAAACTTAATTTTATATTTGTTCGGGGGAATCATAAATAATCCTTAACAAGAGCCACCACCGGGCGGGGCAACGCTCGACTTTTTACTTTTTTAAAAGCAAACAAATAAATCGTTTAAACAAATCTTAGGGAATAGTTATGTTTTTATTTTTATAATCTTTATAGGTCGGTCTAGTAACACTAGTTGTATCGAAGTATGAAATCTTACAATAAATAAATGAAAATGTTAAGAAAATTTAGTCAAAATTCAATCATTTAACGATGCATATATATAATTTATTAATGCAAAATCAGTGAAAATTCAATAATTTAACCTTCAAGGTCAAGGCCATAAAAGAGCAAATGTCAATTTGAGTTTGATATACACGAAGGCTTATCCTAAAGAATATGGTCTGTTATAATATGAAATCAATCTATTCAATAATAACAAAAGTTACAGCCAGTTACAGCCAAACAAAGAAAAGAAAATAATTTGAAACTAATTTGACCTACAAAGTCCTCGGACATCTATAAATGAATATCAAGGTCTATCTGGTTAACTTAAAGAGCGATCCGAAAAGATTACATTAATTAAGTTAACGATCAATTCAAAATTAACAAAGTTATAGCCAATAATAGCAAGAAACATTCAAAATCTGTATATTTGACCTTGACGGTCAATGTCATTTATGGATGAAGGTCAAGGTTAGTCTTATCTACTGAAAGGTCTTGTCCCAAGGGTTGTTGTGGCCAAGTTTGAAGACAATTCGCCAAGGACTTAAAAAGTTATGATCAAGGTGTAAGTTAGCGGATGGCAACGGACGGCAACGCCGACATGACTGTAACAATACCTCTACTTTTTAAAAAAAATCGAGTTCAAAATGGAAGAATTCATTCATAAAAAGCTGTACGAACAATGCGGTATCTGAGCAATCCCTATAATTACATTACAAGTGAAAGAAATTATCAAAATATCAAAATATGTTTTATTTTGGTTGCGAAACTTCCTATTTTTTTCATTTTTTTAAATATTATTAATAAAATGAGGGGGGAACTAGGCAGATTCAAACAATTTATTATGTCCCTGGAGAATTTATTTGTAAAGAATAGTAAAAAAACTGTTTTCTTTATGAATTTACTCATATAAAAATTCAAATAAAAATCAAATAATTTTAAAGAACTTGAAGTAGTTTGTTGTCTTACATTTAACTTTATCTTAAGATTTTAAACCAATTGCATCACATGTTGTGATAATAAAAGAGTCAATAAAGAATAATGACGTAAATGGTAAACACAGCTCGTGTAATGAATTTGAGATAAGTTGATCACTCATGTCTATTTAATGGTTCAACATGTGATATGTCAGAATAATCATACTGTTTCACTGTAGATTTTTTTACAACGAGTTAATGTTTTCCTACAGCGATACATTGAAGAGTATCATTTTTCAATGAACAAGCTATATTTAACTTAGTTGTTGTGCGTATAAAATTTATCTACATGTAAATGTCAAGTATCAAATATAGGCTATTGGTACTTTGCGAAACGGAACGAAACGGAATGGAACGGAACGGAACGAGAGGCACCACATAGGGGAAATTAAGAAATGAAATGTAAATTCTTAAAATCAATATAAAGTAATCATTATAGTAAATTATATGAATTCTGTATAATCTTAGTCTATCCGATGAAACTCATTATACACAAACAATTAAGTATGAACTATAGTTTTGTCTAGTTCCGTTTCGTTTCGCAAATTAACATTACCTTCATGGGTATTGGTATTTTTCGAAAAGGGAACGAAACGAGAAAAAAATCTATTTATATACATGAAATGTTTTTTATCTAATAATCGTTTATGCTTCCATGTACAATAATGATCACAAGAATATGTATGTAAATATTGTTTAAGTAATTTGCGACAGCTCATCAACGCCATAACTAATAACTGGAACCATACAACACTTTTCTAAAAGTAAAGGTAGAATTTCTTAATTAACGCTAGTCGACGAACCAAGATCGCTGGTCTTGTAGTCTAACCTGCTAACACCTGCGCTACTGACTTCCTATGTATCAAACTCATAGATACATGTATCTTCATAAATAACCTCGACATGGAATTTTGTTATAAGATTATAGGACAATTTGTATGTTTGTAAAGGGAAGGTTTTTTGCATATTTCCTTGTATGTGCACGCGTGATTATTCTCTGCATTATACCAAATTAGCCCTTTCTCTCTTGTTTCGTTCCGTTTCGCAAAGTGTCACAAAGTGAAAGTACGTTTGTAAAATATTGCATTATATTTTCACGCCGAACCTCATTTTTACTCTATATTCATTGATGTGAGATTGCATCATCTTTTGTTCA